TAGGTGATCAAAGTTGCTTTTCCTTCAGCAAGGGCTTTTCTTTGTCAGAAGGGCATTATGCTTGACCTCCAAATTTGGCTGACAATTTACTGATAAGATTTATAACCTTTGGGTTGCTCTGATATTTTGACATATTTGCTGGGTTCTGTGCTACATCCTGGAAGGCTACCATAACTTCTGGATTCTGCATGGCTGTAAGAACCTCTGGGTCAGTAAGAATTTCATTGAGCCCAGGGATTCCTGCCATTCCAGGCGTCTCGCCCTACCTTTCCAGGCATTCCTCCAGAAAAATTAATAGGCATTCCCCCAGGAAAGCCACCTGGGAAAGAGCCATACTGAGCTCCTGATTGTCTTCTGGCTTCTTCCTCCCTCGGGGCTCTCTCATGTTCTTCCGGGGTCTTATTAACCCTTTCTATTCTTTCTTTGATCTCTCACTCTTCATGATTTTGCTCATACTTCCATGTTCAGCAATTTCCTGGGCCCTCGTTTGAACTTCTTTCAGCATTGCACTAGCATCTTCATAATCCAGTTTACAAGCAAGGGCAAGATCGTGTACTGCTTCTTCCCAATGGCCCAGAAGTCTCTGTGCTTTCCCTCGCCACTTGTAAGGCTGAGTTGAATCAAGGTTTATTTCAATAGCTCTGTCACAGTCTCGAATGGCAGCATTTGTCTTCTGTAATTTGATGAAGACACTAGCTCTCTTGGCATACAGAATGGTCAAGCCAGGATTCAGTTTGATGGCATCTGTGAGCAAGTCAGTAGCTTTCTGTAGTTCACCATCATTTGGGGCATCAATGGCAGCCACTTTTTTATCATTTACCTGATCCATCATTTCTGTGGTTATCTCTACATTTCATCTCCCATTTCTTGAAGGGCATCAGTATCTGGTTCAATCACACCTTCATTGTCCATTTCTAGATCACTTTCCTCACTTGATGGTTCGTCTGTCTTTATGTTTTCCTCCGCCTTCTTACTGTTTTTTCTTCCTTGATATTGTCTTCTGATTTGGTTTTATGAGTAGCAGGTGGTATTTTAACCCTCATGCTCTCCAACCACTTCCACAGGAAGCACATTTCCTCAGTGTGCTGAATGCTCGGATCCTGCTTCTACATTTTGAGAAAAGCCCAAAGCTTGCTCACTTTGCGGGGTTCCGTGGTCCAGAGGCAGTGGCGGGCGGCAGGTGCAGCTGAGGTTGCTGCCTGATTCCAGGCATGGGTGCTAGCTCAGCATGGCTGTGTGGAAGGAATTCATCTCCTCCCTTTCTTTTTTTCCTTTTTTTATTAATCCATTAACAAAAAATGGACTTATTAGAGAGACTAAGTCATTTGTCTTTAAAATGTTCTGTATTATATATTTGGCTGATTGCGGCTTCTTGGTGTTTAACACATTTATCTCTATTTCCTGTTAAAAGTTGCTAGTCTAGAAACTTGGCTAGATTGAGGCTTGATTTCATAAATTCACTCTTAAACTAACAAAGATACTTCAACTAGGTTTGGGATTTTAGGTTGATAGTTATTTTTTCCTCAGCACACCGAGGGTTTTATCCCATTCTTGTCTGACATCCATTGTTACTGTTGGAACTGAGCCATAGCTTGTTTTTCCTGTTTAGATGATTCCCACCCCCGCCAGCTGCTTTTAAGATTATGGGGGAAAAGTAAACACTGAAGAAGAAAAAATTACAATGAATCTAGATGTGGGTTTCTTTTTATTCATTCAGCTTGGGATTTATTTTGCTTTCAGAATCCAAAGGTTAGTGTCCTTTACTCATACTAGGAAATCAGTAGCTAGTTCTTCATCAAATGGTGCTAACAAAGTTCTAATCTGGTTGGAACTTTGCATTGAGTGTCTGACTTAATGAATGTATTTTTCATTTCCAAAAGTCATGTTCGTTTTTTTAAACTACTTGACCATCTTATAGTGTCTTATTTCATATTTATCTGAGTTTCTCTTAAGTCTGTTAAGTAGTTTTTTGTATTCTCTGTCTAAAAAGTCTAATATCTGAAGTTGTGGTTTTTGCTTTTATCCATTGCTGCCTGTTTTGGCTGCTTCTCACTCCTGGCACATTGTATATTTGCATTTTATAATTTTTTAAACTGTGACTTCCTCAATTTACTTGGAACATTTTAAAAATTTATTTAAGCAGTCTCTACACCCAATATAGGACTCAAACTCACAACCCCAAGATCAAGAGTCGTACGCTCTTCCAACTGAGCCAGCCAGCCCCCCCCCCCCACCATTTACTTGAAACTTTATATGTGGGAATTCTTTGAGACTTGGCTTGAAATTGAGTTTTTCCCGAAATAGAACCATTTGTTGATACTAATTGCAGTTAGTGTGGCAATGCCATTTAGGACCCTCTTTATTTATTTATTTATTTATTTATTTATTTATTTATTTATTTAATTTATTTATTTTCTAGTTTATTTTTTATTGGTGTTCAATTTGCCAACATATAGAATAACACCCAATGCTCATCCCATCAAGTGCCCCCCTCAGTGCCCGTCACCCAGTCACCCCCACCCCACGCCCAGCTCCCTTTCTACCACCCCTTGTTCGTTTCCCAAAGTTAGGAGTCTCTCATGTTCTGTCTCCCTCTCTGATATTTCCCACTCACATTTTCTCCTTTCCCCTTTATTCCCTTTCGCTATTTTTTATATTCCCCAAATGAATGAGACCATATAATGTTTGTCCTTCTGATTGACTTATTTCACTCAGCATAATACCCTCCAGTTCCATCCACATCGAAGCAAATGGTGGGTATTTGTCGTTTCTAATGGCTGAGTAATATTCCATTGTATACATAGACCACATCTTCTTTATCCATTCATCTTTCCATGGACACCAAGGCTCCTTCCACAGTTTGGCTATTGTGGACATTGCTGCTAGAAACATCAGGGTGCAGGTGCATTTAGGACCCTCTTTTTTTTTAAGATTTTATTTATTTATTGAGACACACACACACACAGAGAGAGAGAGAGAGAGAGAGAGGCAGAGACACAGGCAGAGGGATAAGCAGGCTCCATGCAGGGAACCCGACGTGGGACTTGATCCCGGATCTCCAGGATCACATCCTGGGCTGCAGGTGGCACTAAACCGCTGCGCCACCGGGGCTGCCCTAGGACCCTCTTTAAGTGAAATTACTCGAGGTTTTCTTGCACTACACAAATAATATGAATTTGGACTGAAACCTAAAGTTTTCTTTTTCTACCGTATCTGATGCCAAGTTCTAGACAGGTGCACATCCTTGCTGTCCCCTTCTGTATGGAAGGTTGTTTTTTTTTTTTCTATTCTTTTTAAAACTCTTAATTATGCACTTTCAAACATACTCAGGAGTCAAGAGAACAATGATGAAATCTCCCTGTACCCATCATTCAGCTTCAGTGATTACCTCTGCTTTGCCATTCTTAATTCATCTGTTCTTCTCCTTGTTTACTGTTCCTGAGTTTTGTTTTCCTAGGGTACATAAAAACAAGTATCAGACATCATTATTTCACCCATAGTTTGAGTTGTATCTCTAAAAGGAAAGGGCCTCGTGAGGACACAATGACTTAACTGAGTTTGGGGCTTAAACAAGGAAGGGAGAACTGTTGCAGTACAGTCCTTCATCCAAAAACGAACTTTCTGAATCTAATCATGAGAAAATATCAGGCAAGCCAAAATTGAGGTGGGTGGAGTCTGTGAAACATCTGATCTGGACTCTTTGTATCTTGAAAGATGAAGAAGGGCTGAGGGACAGGTCCAGATTAAAGGAGAGTAAAGAACTATGGTTAGAGGGCATGGTCCCATGTGAGAGATTTACAAAGGGATTGCTATAAAGGACATTATTGGACCAGTTACTGAAATTCTGCATATGGAATATATGTTTAATAATAATAATAATAATAATATTAAATCCACGTTAAACATTCCTGATTTTGATCATTGTGGTTATGTTAGAGAATGTCCAAGTTCCTGTGTTACTTTGAAGTATATAGGAGAAAGGGTCATGACATCTATTTTCCCTTGAATAGATTGTTCTCAACATTGTTGCTGAAACAGATGGAATGCAAGAGAGAGAGAAAGACAATTTTAATGGTGAAGAGTCTGTGGAAGTTCATCATATTCACACCATCCTTATTTTCTTTAAAATAAAACATAACACTTATTCTTAAACATCTCCATTCATTTTTCACCTAATAATTTATTAGCTGTTAATTGTTGCCATGATCCATTAATTTACTAGTGGTTGCAAAATGGTGACTTTCTGACTCTAGCATTTTCTTTATAATAAATGAAGCTTCTTGTAAAGCTTGTATGCTTCTTCTGTAAAGAACTTTAACTCACACAATAGGGATATATGCTTGATTTTTTCCTTATAGAATTTTCAGAATTAGAAGTTGATATCCTGGCCTCCTCCAATTCTGACCATTAGGGTTTTTTTTTTTAAATATCATTATGAATTCATGATTTTGTTTAGATTTGATGATTTCAACAGACTGCAGCCATTATTTATCAAATTGTTCCATCTTAATAGGGGAGCTCTTTTAAAAAAAATTTCTCCCTGTCTTTTTGACACAACCCCATTAGCCTTTGCTGGGTCTCTTACTTTCTGTTATAAGATGTTCCAGACTCAGCTTGAACATTTCATGTTCTACACTGGACTGAGCTATTTCTCAAAAGGGTCCTCATTTCTTTTATGGAAAGACTACCGACATTTAGAGGCAAATTGGTAGGAGAGTGGCTCATTGCTCTTCACAATGCCTATTGATTGTAGACATTTTTAGTAGTTCCGTCTAGAAAAAAGTTCAAAAACTAAAAATAAATGCATCTTATATTCCTAATTCCTAGCTGTTCTTGGATAGGGAGATAAAATCCTAACAGTGTACTATATGGTGGGTATGTATGTGTGCATGTGTATGTGTGTGAGTGTGGTCTGTCTGAAGCTAGTATGAAGAAGCTTCTAGGTTGTAAGTGTTGAATATTTGTCAAGCCTGGACTCTCCTGGCTTCTTTCTTCTCTAGGTCTGCTTGCTCAGAACCTTGTCTGGTAAGGCGGGAAACATACAAGAGGAAGAATGGCTGCCAGATTGCTGACAACCTGGTCACAGGTACTGAGGAAATTATTCTGATTCCAAAAAACATTGCTGTTCCCAAAGGACACATCTCTTGCCCATGACCCACAGCTTCAACTGAGCTGGCCTCAGGCTTCCCCAGTTCTTTGGGGTTCTTAGAATGGGACAAAGAATCCCTAAGACAGGCTTCTATTACTATAATATTTGTTGATTTCTTTTTTTCCAGATCTTCCTCCAGGTTAAGTATTTGTTCCATATTCTGCTGGATGCTATGAAGGAAAAGAGATTTTTTTCACTAGGAAAATCACCCATTCATTTTTCAAGTATTTTTCTCATCCTGTAGTACAGTCAATCTATACTTGGTCTTGACTAAGACTGGAAGAGGCCTCGAAACCTAGTGGTGGAAAGATCAGATAAACCATGTATTAGACAAGCTACTAAAAACATGAGTCTGGATGAGATGGTCCAGGCAGGGAGAGTGAAAGAACTGAGCCTTGGGTCAGATAATGAGATCTATGTGTTGGTCTCCTTCCCCATTGCTGGCAGCCTCCCCTACCATTCCTTTGCTACATTGTTGGAAATGGGCCTTGGCTGAGCCAGAATGTTTGTGATGTTTCAGGATTCGGTGACCTTTGAGGAAGTGGTGGTGGACTTCTCTCAGGAGGAGTGGGCACTGCTGGACCATGCTCAGAAAATCCTGTACAGAGATGTGATGCTGGAGAACTTTAGGAACCTAGCCTCTCTGGGTAAGATTGGTCTCATTAATTTTCTCATTTCTTCATGCAGCAGATGGTCCTTCCTGACATACCATGTTCCAGGATTTGTGAAAAGAATGATAATACATGGAAAACATAAAATGAATGGCGCCTGTCCTTGTAGAGCAGTCTTATGGCTTCCTGTAAAAAATGGAGTGATTTCATTTTTCATTATTATTACAAAATTTAGGTAATTTGCCATATGTATCTGCTGTTGGGCTTGGATTTCAAGGGTCAGTTCTCTATGAACAGGGCATACATAGGTATATCTGTGAACAGATAAGTAGATACCTGTTTTGGGGACCTTGTAAAAGATCTAATTCTTGGGTCATTCCTGAAGTTGTATTTGCCTATCTTCCTCAGTATCAAAGTATTGGAATCAGTTTTGTGGACAGATTTCTTGTCTCCTTCACAGTTCCTCCACCTCACACATCTTTCTCCATGAGCAGGGTATCCTCTCTGCAAACACAGTCTGATCACGGAGGTGGAGCAGGAAGCACTGGGTCCAGAGGAGGGGGGAATTGTCCAAAGTGCCTGTACAGGTGAGCCCCAGGCAGAAAGGAGTCATTATATGGAGGAGCCATGGTGAGGGATGATCCATTGGGGAGCGTCGGTTTTGGGATAAAGAGGCCATTACTTGAGCTTTCCATCTTTCACCATCTTGCCATTCATTCACATTTTCCTGTGGTTTCAGAGAAAAGGCTGTTTTAATTCCACTTTCAATTTGATATTTCCTTGAATACTTTTTGTTCCATTCTCCCTACTTTGCTTTCCAGGTAATACACTCTAGTATCTCAAACCTTCAGAATCCTTTCCCATTTCCATTGCTTGTTCCTATCATTGGCATCTTCTCCCAGAGTCACATTCCTAGAACAGTTCCTCTCATCACACGTTACATCTTCTCTTTCATCATTTCCCTTCTGTATTTAGTGTTACTGAAAACAAATCCATAGGGTGCCTACCTCCTTTTTTCTGTTATCTCTATTTTTTATCCCAATAGTTATAAAAATTTTCAATTTCAGACTGGAATATGCAACTGAAATCAAAAGATGGAATTCCCATGCAGAATGTTTCTGGGGAAAAAACTTGCAATGGCATAAAAACGGTAAGATTCAGTAGGAATAATTCCTGGTTTTTTACAGTAGAAGTCTGTGAATGCCATTGAGTTAAAGCACCAGCTTCCAAATGAGGGGAGGCAGTGAGGCGTGGCATTTGCTCACCAGGAAGCTGTTTCAGGAGAGTCTTCCTGAATCTCATAAAATTAGGGAAATCTCTAAACCAAGCCCAACGCTTTCTGCCCCACAAAGAATACCAAAAACTAAACATTTATTTAAATGTGATTCCAGGGACGGCTGGGTGGCTCAGTGGTTTAGCGTCTGCCTTCAGCCCAGGGCATGATCCTAGAGTCCCCGGATCGAGTCCTACATCAGGCTCCCTGCAAGGAACCTGCTTCTCCCTCTGCCTTTGTCTCTGCCCCTCTCTCTCTCTAATAGGAAAAAAAAAAAATCACATACATACCACGAAAATAGTAAAAATGTCAGTTGTAATCATGTACTTCCTATGTATGGCAGAATGCACACGAAGAATTCTCATGAGTATAAAGAAAGTGATAAGGTCCTTTAGTCACCACTTACTCCTTGCTCTGCAGGCACTAACTCAACCTGGTAAGAAACCCTTGGAATTTGATCATTGTGGAAAATTCTTCAGAAAGAACTATCGCTTTACGTGTACAAGATATTGTGAGAGAGAGAAATGCTACAAATATAAAGAATATGGGAAAGACCTTGGCCATCCCTCAACTCTTAGCAGTCATGTAAGTACTCACAGTGGAGAGAAAGCTTTTGAATTTAATGATCATGGCAAATCTTTCAACCAAGAGGGATCCCTTAGGAAACACTTAAGGACTCTCACAGGAGAGAAATTTCACACGTGTAGTCAGTGTCTTATGTCCTTCAGTTTACATCCTTCCTTTTCAGTACATGTGCAAATACCTACTGGAGAGGAACTCTGTGATTGCAGTGATTATGGAGAAAGAGCTTCCCATAGTGTCCACAAAACAATGTGTACCATGGAGGAAAGCTCAGAATATAATGAGCATGGGAAGGTGTTCGCCAGCCCCTTGTCCCTTCAGAAATGTGTGAGACCTCATGCCGGAGAGAAGCCTTACGAATGTAGTGACTGTGGGAAAGCCTTCATTTTTCAGTCTTCCCTTAAAAAGCATGTGAGATCTCACACTGGAGAGAAACCTTATGAGTGTAATCACTGTGGAAAATCCTTCAGCCAGAGCTCTCATCTTAATGTGCACAAAAGGACTCACACTGGAGAGAAACCCTATGACTGTAAGGAATGTGGCAAGGCTTTCACTGTTCCTTCATCCCTTCAGAAGCATATGAGAACCCACACTGGAGAGAAGCCCTATGAATGCAGTGACTGTGGGAAAGCCTTCATTGACCAGTCATCCCTTAAGAAACATACACGGTCTCACACTGGAGAGAAACCTTATGAGTGTAGTCAGTGTGGAAAATCCTTCAGCACAGGTTCTTACCTCATTGTGCACAAGAGAACTCACACTGGAGAGAAAACCTATGAGTGTAAAGAATGTGGGAAGGCCTTTAGGAATTCTTCCTGCTTAAGAGTACATGTGAGAACTCACACAGGAGAGAAGCCCTATCAGTGTGTTCAGTGTGGGAAGGCATTCAGCACCAGCACTAATCTTATAATGCACAAACGAATACATACTGGGCAGAAAGTATGAATGAAATGACTAGAAGAAAGCCTTAACTAGGCCTTCACACCTCATTCTTCATTTTAGAACTCACACTGGAGAGCAGCCCTGTTGTGACTAATATAGAAAGCCTGCAGGCACAATTCTTGACTTATGCTACCCTGGGACCAATCTTACGAATGTTACCATTCTGTGATTGTCTTTTATCAGTGAACGTTTCATCCTGAAAGTCTGTTAACCGATGAGTATTAAAAGTTATATGGCACTTAATCTACATCACAAAAATTTTGATAAATAATATTTTTACCATGAATTTAGTACTAAATGTTGTCCAATCATCATCAAGATGTCTTGGACCTATAGGTTATTTAGAAATGTATTTTTTAATGTGCAGACTCTACATATTTTAGTTATTTTTTATAGATTCCTAATTTAATTACATTATACACAAATGTATGGTCTTCATGATACAGATTCTGTATGACATTATTCAAACAGAAAATTGTTGGGAGACTTGCTTGTGGTCTCAGATACAAGTATCTTCGATCCATTCCTCCTTCCCTTTCCTAAAAGTAACAAAACTACAACTGTGTTCAAGTTGGCAGTGTGGACAATTTTTTAAGGACTCCTGTCTCAACTTTCTTTGCCGCTGTGAATGCCCATGAGCCCCTGGCTCTGTTCAGTGAGAAACAGGCAAAGGTGACTGCTTGTGGGCTCTAAAGAAGCCCATGGCAATGGGAGTGTCTCGTCTGGCATTTTTGCTTCACCATTTGCCCTGTGGTCTCATCTCATTTTCTCTCCTAGAAAACAGACCAAGAGGATCATAGTCAGAAGCTACTGATTATACAACAGGGACATACAGTATTATTTGGTTGTACCAACTCTGTGTTGCTTATTTCTGAGCTTCATGTAACAAGAGAAAAATAAACTCCTTAACTGATGCAAACCACTCTGGAGGGAAGATTCTGTTACAAGGGATTTCAGTTAACTGATAATCTCTCATATGTGGTCAAGTTTTGTGAATCCTTTAAGTATGGTTGAAAACAATGCCTGTTCTGTAATTATTTGGTATAATCAGTTCTCAGTGTGTCTGATGGATGATCTTACTATTCTTAAAATTTGTATCATTACAAACCTTCTTTCATTTGTCCTTTATTGAAAGCGGAATGTTAAGATGTGTCACTATTACTGTGGGTAGTCAGATTTTTTTTTATTCTCATTTGTTTTACCTTGAGTCACTATAGCTAGAAGCATATAAGTGTTGTAATTTTATATTTCTGATAAATTGTCCTTTCATTCTTTAAAGATTTATTTATAAAAAAATAAAAAATAAAAATTAAAAAAAAATATTTATTTATTTGAGAGACAGAGAGTGCACAAGCAGGGGGAGAGGGAGAAGCAGACCCCCCACTGAGCTGGGAACCTGTTAAAGGGCTTGATCCCAGGACCCTAAGCCCAAGGCAGATGCTTAACTGACTGAGCCACCCCGGTGCCCCTGTCCTTTCATTCTTAAATAGTGCCCATTTTTCTTCCTATTAATGTTATAATTCACTTGGTATTAATGTGAATTATTGACCTAGCCGATAACATTTTCTCCTTACCAGTATGTAAGGACAACCAGAAACAACTTACCTTTCCTCAGCACTATGTGGTGGTGGTCCCTGAAACACCAAAGGGGGATCTCCTCAGCCAGTACATCTCCTGTGGGGGACGAAGAGATCAGGAGGTCCTCAGCACCCTTCCCTGCCAAAGACAACAGCAGCTGTCACATATGTCTCTGTTGTTCCTTGCTTCATTTCTGTCATGATTTGTTCCTCTGCCAACCTGGTGGGATATGAGGGATCTCACCCATGAATGAGATAAATGTTTAATGAAAGAGGGAAAAGAGTAAGAACATTTTTTTCCCTGCTCCCCCTAAGAAAGCTCAGGAGGTTTCTCAACTCAATAAAGTTTGTCTCCTGGTCAATGAGCATGGGCTCTCTTGAGTGCCACTACCTATCAACTTCTAAGAGCATCTTCTTGAAAACCAAATGTTATAAAATTGGGATTCCCCCATATTGCTCTCTTGAAGAGAGACTGTAGTCCCTCTGTGGTTGAAAGGGACAGTCTAGAAATAGAGGTCATAGCAAAGGGCCACTCAGGATCATCAGGAACTTATAGGTAAATATGTAAAGAAAAAAAATGGGGAAAGATAAGAGACCAAAAGAAAAAAGTATAGCAGCAGGATTACCAAGTAATCCCTCCCTTCCCAAAGAACAAGAACTTTAAATTTTATGTATCAAGTATTCGTTCGGTCTAAGAAATACGTTAGTCTTCAGTTGCTTACTGATTTAAAAACAATAATGAGGGGTGCCTGGGTGGCTCAGAACTTGAGCATCTACCTTTGGCTCAGGGCGTGATCCCAGTCCCGGGATTGAGTCCCACATCAGGTTCCCTGCAAGGAGCCTGCTTCTCCCTCTGTGTCTCTGCCTCTCTCTCTGTGTCTCTCATGAACAAATAAATAAAATCTCAAAAAAAGACAATAATGAAAAATAAACCCATATATATATAGTGAAGAAAATAAAAGGTAAAGTAAGTTATATACATATGTAATATTTAACATAATGTATATATGTAAATTATAAATATACACACAAAACTATATTTTAAAAAGATCCATAATTTGGGCCACTTGAAAACCTAGTTTATGTATTCAAGTTTAAAACTTACATAAAAATTTTTACATATAATTATCATATATATAAAAATGTAACAATTTATATATCAAAATATGTACTTATCAAAAAGATAAGAGTGGCACCAGTGCTTTTGTGCCTCCACAATGTAAGTTCTAAATTAAACTTAACTTTGCTAAACTATACTAATTGACAAGGCTTCAAAATTGTAATCAATACCAGGGTTCAAATTATGGCTATATCTAAGAACCCCACTAAATTTAAACATTACTTCTCCTATAATCAATAAAAAATAATTAAAATAGAGGAAAACAGGTGTATTTCCCTGCAATTGTAGTCATGTCTAAATTTCCCATAGCTATTGTACCCATTACCCTAAAATATCCCATCTTAAGCACAAATGCCCTGATAACGATGAAAAATAAATTTAAAGGTCTTTGCCTTTATTCCTTGATAAAATGTGATTCTGTGAACACTTAGAATAATTAATATGGCTCAGTATGTGTTAAAACTGGCCTTCATGGTTTAAAACTTATATAAACATAACTAATAAAAAAGGTGCTTATTTCTACTGCTTCTCTTCATAATTCAATTTTGCCTATTTCACAAATTGAGAACAAATAAATAACTATATCTATCTTTTGGTATTAACTGAGTAAAGAGCAGTTAAGAGTTCCTGGACTGTGCAAACAGCACTGCTAACCATATGTGATGAAGCACTGGAATGTTAATGCTTTCCCTCTCTTTATACTGTATACAAAAACTAATGGAACAAAGATGAACCATGGAAACAAAATTGCAAAATTCCTAGAAGAAAGCATAAGAGGAATGCTTCATGACATTGAACTTGGCAATGGTTTCTTAGACGTGATACCGAAAGCACCTTGCAATCAAAGAAAAAACAGATTGTACCTTATCAAAATTAAGATCTTTTGTATCTTCAGAGATCAGTTATCAACATTAAAATGCTTTTGTACTCCAAAGGACACATCAAGGGATCCCTGGGTGGCGCAGCGGTTTGGTGCCTGCCTTTGGCCCAGGGCGCGATCCTGGAGACCCGGGATCGAATCCCACATCGGGCTCCCGGTGCATGGAGCCTGCTTCTCCCTCTGCCTGTGTCTCTGCCTGTCTCTCTCTCTCTGTATGTCTATCATAAATAAATAAAAATTAAAAAATTGTTTAAACAAACAAAACAAAGGACACATCAAGAAAGTGAAAGACAACTCATGGAATGGGAGAAAATATTTGCAGTTCATAATGCAAAAAGGAACTTCAATACAGAATATACAAAGAATTCTTGCTACTCAATACTAAAAAGAGAAATAATGCAATTCTTAAATGGACAAGAGATTTGAATATACATTTCTCCATGGACAAACAATAGCAACAAATATAAGAAAAGAAACTTGCCCTCAACATCAGTGGTCAGTAGAAAATTGCAAACCCAAATCACAAGGAGATACCCCTTCTCACCACTTAGGATAGCTAATATATAAAAACAAAAATTAACAAGTGATATTGGAAAATAACTCTTACATTGATGGGTAGAATGTAAAATGGTGCAGCCACTTTGGAAAAGTCTGGTAGTCCTTCAAAGTGTCAAATACATAATTACTATATGGTCCAGCAGTTCCACTCCTAGGTAGATACCTGTGGTAATTAATTTTATGTGTCAACTAGACTGTCATGGAATACCTAGATATCTGGTTAAATGTAACATTTGGGTGTCTGTGAGCATGTTTCAGGAGATTAGCATTTGAATCAATAGACTGAGCATAGCATATCACCCTCCCCAGCATGGGCGGACAACATCCAATTGGATTTAGAGTGTGAATGGAATAAAAAAGCAGAAGAAGATTGAGTTATTTTATTGTCTGATTGTTGAATTGAATAGTGATCTCCTGCTCTTGGTACTCCTGGTTCTCGAGCTCTGAGACGGAAATCTACACCTTTGGCAGCCTGGCTCTCAGGTGTTTGAATGGCACCACCTGCTTTCATAGGTCTCTCAACTGGGGATGGTAGATTGTGAGACATCTCAGCCTCCATGGCCACATAAGTGGTTCCTTATATAAAAGTCGTGTGTGTATAAATACAAATAATGTATGTTATGTCCATTATATGTGTGTGTGTATAATAGATGTTTCTGGGTTTTCCATAAAGTTCAGGGTTATATGTTCTATTTCTTTGGAGAACTCTGGCTAATACAATACCCAGGATAGATTAAAATATGCACACACACAAAAATAAATGAATGTTCAGAGCAGCATTATTCATAATACCCACAAAGTGTTAACAACCCAAATGTGCATCAACTGATAAATATGTAAATAACATGTAGTATATCCATACAATGGAATATCATTCAGCAATAAAAAAGAATGATATGCACTACAGCACATATGAACCTTGAAAACATGCTAAGTGGGATCCTTGGGTGGCTCAGGGGTTGAGCGTCTGCCTTCGGCTCAGGACGTGATCCTGGAGTTCCGGGATTGAGTCCCACGTCGGGCTCCCTGCATGGAGCCTGCTTCTCCCTCTGCCTGTGTCTCTGCCTCTGTGTGTGTGTGTCTCATGAATAAATAAATAAAATCCTTAAAAAAAGAAAACATGCTAAGTGAAAAGTTATTGGCAGAGGATTTTATGATTTCATTTACATGAAATGTTCAGACAAGGCAAATCCATAGAATCAGAAAATACATTCATGGTTACACATTAAGAGAGGAGGGAAATGGGATTATGACAGCCAAAGAGTTCTTCTGGAGGGACAAAAATGGTTCTAAAATTGTGCTAGTTGCCCAACTCTGAAATTTAAAAAAGCATACACACACACATTGAATATTAAAGTTTCAAATGCACAAATTGTAGGTTTTGTGAACTATAGCTCAATAAAGCTGTTCCAAAATAACACAAAAACCCCCCATGGTATAGCTGCATCATTATTAGAAGCATAAAAAAATGTGTCTCTGAAGCACCTAGAGCAGTAAGGTCCAATATATGTTAGCCGCCATTATATTTTTTTAACACTACATACTAGAGCTTAATATTAAGCTATTATAATTTTTTAAAAGTTATGATATGGCATTAGTATTACTGACACATAAAAGTCTAGAAATTTATACCGGCACATATAGGAATTTATTTAATATAGATGTAATTTCACATGACCAGGTCAAAAGTTCACTGGTAAGTGGTACAACTGGCCCATCTTTTCTGGAGGAAATAAAATAATTTTAAAAAATTAAAATAAAATAAAATAATAAAATAAAATAATTGATCCACTACTCACAGCACATGAAATAAACTCTATGAGGAGTAAAGATTTAAGTGTCTTTATGTTTTTAACTTTTTAAAAAAATGTCTTTAATGTAAGAAGCAAATTCGGTGTACACAGTTTGAAGACATTTAAAGGCAAGGCAAGAAAAATTTTTAAAAAACAATTTTTGGCTACATAAATTTAGTATTTTGTACAGCAACAGATGAAATATTAATGTAGCAAAATAGTTATCAATTTAATAGATCCCATAAGATATATTTGATAATGCACATGAACATTTTATCTTAATAAAATGTCTTAAAATCCGGGTTTAGGGGCACCTGGTGGCTCAGTCAGTTGAGCATCTACCTTTGTCTCAGGTCATGATCCTAGGGTCCTGGGATCAAGCCCCACATCTGGCTCTCTGCTCTGTAGGGAGCCTGCTTCTCCCTCTCCCTCCCTCTGCTATTCCCTCCGCTTGTGCCCTCTGACTCTGTCACATAAAATATTTTTTAAAAATAATATCAAATCAGGATTTAAACACCCTTATTAATTCCACAAAAACCATCCACTGGGGGATCCCTGGGTGGCGCAGCGGTTTGGCGCCTGCCTTTGGCCCAGGGCGCGATCCTGGAGACCCGGGATCGAATCCCACGTCGGGCTCCTGGTGCATGGAGCCTGCTTCTCCCTCTGCCTGTGTCTCTGCCTCTCTCTCTCTCTCTCTGTGACTATCATAAATAAATAAAAATTAAAAAACAACAACAAAAAAAACCATCCACTGAAAATCGCAGCAAACATGATTACTGGAGACACTTGAGATGTATTCCTGAGAAGTGAAGAATTGCTGGTCTACAAAGACAATCACACACTAGAAGGGGTGGGGAGGATATGTGCAGAAAACCATTAACTGAACATCCAAAGGAGTCACTGGAGTTTAGCATGGCGCCCAAATAAAGGCCTAGAGAAGGGACTGACTGGAGAAGCTAGACCACTTTCAGGACTGGCGAGAATGTCAAGTACGGGAGACTCGTCCACGGGCTCCAGGAACGAGGGGAGGAGGGGCCGCGGCCTTCCCTGCCCGCTGCGGGGTGCTCGCCCACCTGCGCGCTCGCCCTTCCAGCTTAAATACTCCGCATTCCTAACGGGCACTGGGTGTGTTCCCCGTTCCAGCCACCTACCTCTCCGGCCCTCTCCATTCCTTTTACTTTTTTTGAAGGATTTTATTTATTCATGAGAGACAAAGACAATGGCACAGACACAGGCACAGGGAGAAGCAGGCTCCCCGCAGGGAGCCCCACGCGGGACTCGATCCCGGGCCTCCACGGTCACGCCCTGGGCCGAAAGCAGACAGACGCTCAACCGCGGAGCCACCCAGGCGGCCCGCTCCCCACCCCGCTCCATTCCAAGCCCCACCCGCGCCAGTCCCAGACCAGCCCACCCACATCCACACCGAAGGAAACCAGAACTTTCCCGCCTGAGGTGGTAGGACGTAGGGACGCCCCCGGAAAGCGGGGCCCCGCCCCTTCCGGCCCCAGGCAGGAAGCGGAAGTGGCGTCACGCACGCGTCAACGTCTTTTCCGCCCCTGGCGGGGTTTCGCTTTGGCTTTGGCTCTGCGCAGGCCAGCTCTGGGAAGCCGAGGGGAGGGAAAGGGAAGAAGTTGCAAGAGTTTGTTCCAGGCCTCCCGGAGCCGTGCTGGGAGACCTAGCGCGTGGGGAGCCTGCGGGCTCGGTAGGTGGCGCGTGCCGCTCTGGATCTCGGGTGGTAAGTTCCAACCCCACCTTGGGTGTGGGGATGACTCAAAACAAAAAACAACTTTAGAAAAAGAGGGACGCCCGGGTGGGTCAGCAGTTAAGCACCTGCCTTCGGCTCAGGTCGTGATCCTGGAGACCCGAGATCGAGTCCCGCATCGGGCTCCCTGCATGGAGCCTGCTTCTCCCTCTGCCTGTGTCTCTGCCTCTCTCTGTCTCATGAATAAGTAAAATCTTTAAGAAAAGGAAAGAAAGAAAGAAATCCCTGGCCTGCACTGCCCTCGTGGGCTGGACGTGGATGGGGAAATGTAATGGGCGCTTTGGGGGGCTTGTATTGATGTAGTTTTTGAATGTAGGGGTGGGGTGAAGTCTGCCATGGCCAAGAAAGATTTCTTGAGAAGCGTTTGGTGCAAAATGGTGGTTTTATTAAAGCACATGAACTGGGCTGTGGACGGAAAGAGGTGCTGCAGCGGTGCTGTGAGGGGTAGCTGATGAAATACCTGGGAGCTGGGGAGGGAAGGAAAGGGAGGCGTCCAGAAGGACTTTCATAGGCTAAAGTGGACCCACAAGACACTGGAGGCTTTGCTGTTGTCAGAGTAACATTTTCCCCTCTAGCAAGGCATTGACATTAAGGTAGTTGGAAGTGTTCCTGGAGGAATATCACACATATCCCACCCGGGAGTGGGGGGGACCAGAAGGAGCTTGCGGCGTGTCAGCTTCTGCTTTGTCCTCAGCTTGCCTTCTCCTCCTCCATCAGAACCACCCTTGCCTCCCTGGATAAATCCCACTTGATCCATAGTATTAGACCCCTTTGATAATGTTTCTAAATTTGGTTTGCTAATATTTCCTCGAGGATCCTTGTATCTGTTTATTGTGGATAGTGGCCCCTTTTTTTGGTGGTATATTTGGTTTTGGAATCGGGGTAATAATGCTGGCGTCATAAAATAAGTGTGCAAGTGTTCTCCCCTATTTTTTTGGAAGAGTTTGAGAAGGATTGGTGCTCATCTTTAAATGTTTGATAGAATTCACCAGTGAAGACTTCTGGTCCTGGACTTTTTTTACTGAGAGGTTTTTGATTCTTGATTCTCTTTAATCGCTCTGCTCAAATTTTCTGTGTCTTCATGATGAAGTCTTAGTAGGTTGTGTTTTTAGGAATTTATCCATTTTTTTTTTTACAGGTTGCCCTGTTTCTGTTTTTGTTTTTGATCTTTATGTACAGCTGTTTCCTTAGTAGTCCCTTAGGATCCTTTACGTTTCTATGATATTGTGACACCTTCTCTTTTTTATTTAATCTTATCTTTTTTTGTGTGTGAGCCTAGCTGAAGGTTTATTTTGTTTATCGTTTTTGTAAATATAGTTTTATGGGGAAACAGCTATACCCATTTATTTACTAAGATCTTTTTTTAAAAAAAATGTATTTATTTATTCATGAGAGACAGAGGCAGAAACACAGGCAGAAGGGAGAAGCAGGCTTCCCGCAGGAAGCCCAATGTGGGACTCAATCCCAGGACCCTGGGATCACAATCTGAGCCAAAAGCAGATGCTCAACCACTGAGCCACCTAGGTGTCCCTATTTACTAAGATCTATGGCTACTTCTCCACTACTAAGGTAGAACTAATTCGAGACTTTTTGTCCAGCAAAGCAAAACATACTTCCTATTTGGTCCTTTTCAGACAGAGTTCACCAACCACTATTCTGGACCCATTACCAACTGTCAGGAGATAACAAATGGAGTAAACATTTAAGCCAGGAAGAAAAGTCATAAACACCAAAACACAAATAAATAACCTAACTTTACACCTCAAGAAACTTGAACAAATGAAACCCAAAAGTAGTAGAAGGAAGAAAGCAACAGTGATTAGAAAGGAAATATTTCAGAGGCAAAAAAGGTAATAAAAATGATCAATAAAACTAAGAGCTGAATTTTTGAAATGATAAACAAAATAGACCTTCAGCTACGCTCACACACAAAAAAGATAAAATTAAATATATAAAAGGAGGTTTCACAGTATCACAGAAATGTAAGGGTTGTGAGTTGAAGCCCCCTGTTAGACATATGGTTTACTTTAAAAAAATATATTCTGTGGAAGCATAAGGAACAAATTTCAATATTAACTGCAAGGCACTTGTTTTCAAAATATCCACCCCACCTTCTTCATGAGTGAGAATACTCAAATATACTTTTAGAAGTACAGTGCTTGGGCTTGGGGTTGTGCATTCGAGCCCCATGTTGGGCATAGTTCAGACACACATATATAAATAATAAACAAAAATATTTATTCCTAAAAAATGCTCATTGAGACCATCTACACTGAATCACACTGGCCAGGGTAGGGGATGTAAAATAAGTCTTTCAGTTGTGGAGAGAGGATCTTGTGTCCCTCTCTCACCTGATCCTAGCCCATGAAATCTCAGGATGAAGCATGGGATGATGAATGGAGAAAAGGTGAAATTACACCTAGTAATATGAGACGCCCGTGAACACCACCCTACCAACTGGGGAGGCCCTTCTACTCAAGCTGTGCAGCAAGAAAGTGAGAATAATAGGCTCTTCTGCCCCTATATCTAGCACCACAGCCTGGCAAAATGACCCTATCATCTGTAGCTCAAGCAATAAGTGTCACGGTGATGAGGTCTGGCTTTGTGCTTGTCATTCCATCCATGTGCTGTGAAAACAGCCTCAGTGACACAAATTCATTTTTTTTTTTTAATAGAATGGGATGAAGGTAGGTGTTGCAGGTAGGAATGAATGAAAATTTGAGAGTGGTCACTCCATCAGCCTCAATTTGGTTAATAAATTGTGTGGGTTGTATAAAAAAAAATCCAAATCAAGGTTCACAATCAATCCTGAATAGGAGAAGAATCACCTGTGCACCTTTCTCTCTTGCTCTCATTCCCTTTTTTACCTGGGAAGAATGCAAGTCCCTGATCACTCTTTCTGTGGGCCATTTGTTAGATATACCTTTGCAGTGAGGAACCTTGAAAAGATGAGATCTCTCTCATTGAGAAAACAGAGTTTTGCTTACTACTTTAAATAAAGTAGGTTCTACAAGCTCAGCATTCCTCATCTTCAGTACCCAGGGTGTATGGGGACACCCATGTGGACCCTTTGGAACTCCTGAGAGACATGGAGACAAAGGGAACCAATTCACACATGCTGAGGCTCATGCTGCTGGTTATACCACAAGTCAGTTACGGCTTTTGTCTCTGATGTCCATTCTCAGCTCGTCTGCCAACATCCATGAGATAGTGACAAGCTAACTTAAGACCTTGAAAGGGAATATCAAATCACACATTCAAGAATTCTGGCAATGGGAATGACATGTTAATAGTCATGGATTTCTGGGAGAGGGAGAACAATGGTGGCCAGGCTGTGTTTGAAGACATGAGTATCTGCAATACAGTAATGCAATTTCTTGCCCAAGAGGTTTCCTTGTGATAAAAGCAAGAAGGGAATAGGGCCCCTACTCTCCTTATTCATGAAGTTGGTTTTGTTTTGTTTTGTTTTTTTTAAGATTTTATTTATTTACTCATGAGAGGCAGAGACACAGGCAGAGGGAGAAGCAGGCTTCCCGCAAGGAGTCTGATGCAGGACTCGATCCTCCACCCCGGAATCAGGACCTGAGCCAAAGGAAGACCCTCAACTGCGGAGCCATCCAGGCATCCTGAAGTTGGTCAAATACTATAGAGTAGTTACATCAGCTTGTTTTTCCTTAATTTGTTCATCTTCCTGTACGTTTTGTGATAGTCTCCTTTTTTACATACTGTATGTGGAGCTTATCTATTTGAAACCACATTTTAAAATCCTTTTCTTTCATTTGGAACATTAGTCCTTAATAAAATGTAACTACTAATAAATGGGGATTTATGGCTAACATCTTATTTTTTTCAGTGTTTATCTCTTCCTAATTCATAAACTAGTATATTGATTGCCTCTATTCCATCAACCTCATATCTAGGCTTTATTTCCTTTTTTATGTTGGACACAATGGTAAACTCTAATCACTGATTCCTTGCTTTCAGTGTAATGATATTTTGTATATTTTTCATATTTTTATTCTTGTTTTGTGAGCACTGACGCTGGGCATTCTTCACTTATTCAGAAATGGTTCTCAAGTTACTTTGTTAATCATGTTTGCTGTGATTTTGAGTGGCTTTTCTTTGTACAGTTAAAGATCTTTTAAAACATATATCATCAAGACTATTCATGATCATCATTAAATGTTTGGTATGCATCTATTGATATCTTTTTTGCTACATTAGTGTTTCATGTTTTATTGCACAAATCTTTATGTAGGCAAAAAAGTGTTTTCAAAATTATATCGGAAGGGGTGCCTGGGTGGTGAAGTCAGTTGTCTGCCCAACTCTTGGTTTCAGCTCAAGTCCTGATCTCAGGATCATGAGATCAAGCCCCACGTAGGGCTCAGCACTCAACACAGTCTGCTTGGGACTCTCTACCTCCTCCACCCTGTATGCTCTCTCTCAAATAAATTTTATTTTTTTAAATTTTTATTTATTTATGATGATAGTCACACACAGAGAGAGGCAGAGACACAGGCAGAGGGAGAAGCAGGCTCCATGCACCAGGAGCCCGACGTGGGACTCGATCCCGGGTCTCCAGGATCGCGCCCTGGGCCAAAGGCAGGCGCTAAACTGCTGCGCCACCCAGGGATCCCTCAAATAAATTTAAAAAAATAAAAACTGTATCTGGATTTCCCAATATGCTTTAAAAAATCCCTTCAAACTCTCAATTATATACAAATTTTATAGTTTATTTTTTAAATATAATCCATTTAAAAACACTGAAATCATTAATCCTCATAGGATATATTTTAACATGTGGGGTGAGGTGGTGGATCCAATCACTTCTTTTCCCCAGAAAAGATGGCCAATTGATTCAGTACCAATTACAAATTACTCTTGACCTACAGATTCGAAATTCCACCTTTATTTTTTTTTTAATTTTTTGTTTTAATTTATTTATGATAGTCACAGAGAGAGAGAGAGACAGAGGCAGAGGGAGAAGCAGGCTCCATGCACCGGGAGCCCGACGTGGGACTCGATCCCGGGTCTCCAGGATCGCGCCCTGGGCCAAAGGCAGGCGCCAAACCGCTGTGCCACCCAGGGATCCCCGAAATTCCACCTTTATTAAACAATAAATCCTTGTATCAGTCTCTAGACGCTTCTGCACTAGTGTTGCATTTGCGTATGTTCATATCACAGTTTTTAGTGTCAAAAATCAGTATTTAGTGGTGAATATATAAAGTTTGGTAATGTTTTCTGTGTTTACCACTCTAGGTGCTCAGCTTAGGGGTACTTCCATTGGTAATTATCATGTTTATCTAATTTTGTGATTATTGCCTCTTTGCTTTATATCTGCATATCTGAGTAATTACTCTTCCAGTCTTTACAGTGTCACATCAGTACAGTAAGTCCTGTATCTGGCAGCTTAGTTTAGGCTGCTTAATGGTATGCTGGCTGTGTCTGCAGGCAATTGGGCTTGTCACTTGTGTCTCTGTAATTGAAGGAACAAACATCTCTTTCAGACTGTATAGACTGTTTTCATGGATAAACATGGTCTCATGTTGGGTTCATGGACTGATAGGTTTTGCCTCTGGAACCATAGTCAGGGGGGGTTGAGGCCAGGTCACATGGCTGCTGCTGGGTCGGCTCTGGAGTCCATGGTACACAATCTTGTTATCAGGGCAACTGACCTTGTCTGGACCTTGGTCAGTAGAGCTGACACTAGGAAACGGGATCAGTTAAACGTCCAAAGACAGCAGTAATATTTCTGATTGTGTGGATAGGTAGGGCTCCTAACATGTCACTTGGCAGGCATAAATGGCCCCAGATCACAACTGAGAGGGACTGGAGCCATCATAAAGCTAACTTAGGGCTTATTACATTCACGACCCAAATTCTGCAGGTGTGTCTCAGAGGGCACCAATGGACAAGTCTCCCCCTGAGTTCCTAGGTGAAAAGGATTCCTCCTATTTTGTGGATATGTCTGAAGCTGGGTTGTGGGCTGCTTCAAGATCAGCAGGGAGACCAAAGCAAGCCAGCCTGCCTCCAGGGACACAGATGGACACACCTTCTGACTTCCTTTGTGGGGATGACCACAGCTGAGAGGCTGGAGCTGGGTCACAGGATGGTTGCTCCTAGTCTGCATCTCAGAGGCCTATTATCTGAGAGGCATGAGTGGATGGGTCTTTCTGGGGCCTGGGTTGGTGCTGGTGCCAAGGCCAAATGGGGCTGTAGCCAAGTCTAGATGGGTAAATGGCTGTTTCCAGGTGTATAGCTGGGACCACAGTCAGCAAGCTGGCCATCTGGGTATAGGTCTTCCTTCTCAAAATCAACCTCGTTTGTGGGCTCTACTGAGGTTTTGAGTTTCCGACCTGGATTTCAAAACTGCTGCAAAGGCACTTTTGTTCATGGAAGGCTGCCTAATTATTGTTGCTGTGGAGGTATCCAACCTCATCTTCTCCTGTCTTGCTATTGCAGGAATTTCAGTGTATTCATCTTAAGGAAGTCCTAATTTATCATGTCACTAGATCAAAGCAAAAGACGGCTAGGCCAGTAGCATCCAAAATGTATTTGATCACTTTTCATTCTTTGCTGCATATGGTGGCATATATGTTGGGGAAGGGGAGAGAAGCAAACTAGAGAAGTGTGTATTTGATTTATACTGGCACCAGAGCAGACCAATTAACACACCAGTACAACTGATATGAAATACTATTACCAGTGAGGTGTTCTGTAGGTTCCTCAACTCACCATTTTCAAGATTAAACTAATGTTTTATCCTCCCCCCAATTTTCTTTTTCCTCTTACTACCATCAGGGTAAAAGCTACCACCATCAACTCTAGCACCTATGGAATTGTTATCCGGTGGCTGCCAGTCAGACTGGTTTGGCCTCCTACACCATAATAGGCAATGTCTAAAATCATTTCTAGTTATCACAACTATGTGCTAGCACCTAGTGGGTTGACATGAGGAATCTTTTAAAAACCTACAATACGTTAATTTAGGGATCCCTGGGTGGCGCAGTGGTTTGCCGCCTGCCTTTGGCCCAGGGCACGATCCTGGAGACCCGGGATCGAGTCCCACGTCGGGCTCCCGGTGCATGGAGCCTGCTTCTCCCTCTGCCTGTGTCTCTGCCTCTCTCTCTCTCTCTGTATGACTATCATAAAAAAAAAAAAAAAAAAAAAAGATAAAAACCTACAATACATGGGACAGCCCTTACAACAAATCATTAAACATCAAAACATCAATATTAACATTTTGAGATCCTGGTCTACACTGTCAAGGGCTAATATTAAAATATTTCTCTAGGGGCACCTGGGTTGCTCAGCTGGTTAAGCGTCTACATTTGGCTCAGGTCATGGTGCTGGTGTGCTGGGATCCAGCCCTACATTGGGCTCCCTTCTCAGCAGGAACCCTGCTTCTCCCTCTGCTGCTCCCCCTGCTTGTGTTTTCTTGCTCTAATAAGTAAAGTCTTAAATTTTTTTTCCTGAAAAATTTCAATTGTCCATTACATTATGGAATTAAAGATATCAGGAAGAAATTTCTTTCCATTTTGTCACTTTTTATTGTTTAAATGCATTAAAAGGAATCACCATTTTAAACAAGTGAACAATTCTATTCGGTTGACACCAAGTACACTGGTTTTTGTGCAACCGTTAACCACTATCCATTTCCAAATGCTTTCACATTCCCAAATGGATACTCTATCCATTCAACATCCATTTATCATTCATCTTTCCCTCCACCAGCTGCCAATCATGCACTGAGAAAAGTAGTTTCCACCTGGGTCTTGTTAGCAATAATGGAAAATAAAGATGCAATGAAACAAAGATAATAAGGAGGGACACCTGGGTAGCTCAGCAGTTGGAACATAAGCCTTTGGCTCAGGGTGTGATTCCAGGGTCTGGGGATCAAGTCCCATTTTGGGCTCCCTGCGGGCAGCCTACTTCTCCCTCTGACTATGTCTTTGCCTCTCTCTCTGTCTCTCATGGAATTAATAAAGTATTTTTTAAAAGCTAAGGGAAAAGGAAGAATGAAAGAGGACAGAAAGCAAAGGAGGAGGCAATATGTCAGACTTATCCTATGCAATATACCACATAAAAACACCTAAGCACAGCACCACTCAAATCTAGAGTCCTACACTGGAAGTTCAAAATCACATCACTGTTTCCAGGGTAGAATCCACTGCAAACACAAACTTTTTGTGGAAAATGAGGTAAATAAGAAAAATCTCTATGAAATGTCCTAATTCCATAAAATTATACATGTAAAACAGCACAATTTTGATATGGCAAGCACTTCGATTACAACTGTAGTATCCTTTTCATCCCACTTCTTTATGTGAAAAATAACCAAGTAAATGAATGTGAATATTGACATTTGAAAGGATGATTTTTGAGAAATCCATGCCAGCATCTGATTTGAGTGCTTCCCATCTAATGTTGGTCATCTCAGGAATGCCTATAGGAAGTGCAACCAAAGGCAGAAATTTGGTGCTATAATTAGGGAAGAAAGGCAACCAAGGAGTTACTGAAGAGGCTGTTGAGAAACGAACACAAAGACAAATATAAGCAAGTCACAGGTGCTTTGGAAATAAAGGAAAAGAAGTATATCTATTACAAGAGGAGAGTAACCATAAACTTAAATTCACAACGTTTGCATTTGGGACCCACAATGTCCTCTTGGTTCTAAGGCCAGTGGCCCATCACAGCCCCTCTCCTAGGTGAAAAAGCCTTTCCAGGAGGCTCATTACATCCTTGTTGCTCAGGCTGTAGATGGAGTTCAGCATGGGTGTGATCACAGTGCACATCCCTGAGGTAATCAAGCTTCTCTGGTTAGAATGTACCAGGAAAACTGAGCTGGACTGCCAGGCTTCTCCCATAGGAAAAGATCACAGAGCAGTAAGACCTACAGGTGGAAAATGGTTTATATTTTCCCATGAAGAAGACATTCTTATTTAGGAGGAGACAATCCAAGTTATGAAAAGAGGATCTCAGTGAGATCAGCTAACATTATCAGCACAATAACAATGATGAGGGTATACAATTGCTGGAATTACAACTTATGGGTTTTGAGATATCAATACTTAAGGCCAGTCAGTGTATTATACATTGCAACACACACCAAGCAGTTAAGACTACAGCCATATTCAAAAGAATCACTTCCATATCCCAATCTCCAAATACAAGAATGTACCTGGGTCACTTCTTTTTAAGTAGGCTCCACACCCAGAGCCCAATCCAGGGCTTGAACTCAAGACCCTAAGATCAAGAACTGAGCTGAAGTCAACAGCTGGACATTTGACTGAGACACCCAGGTACCCCATATCCAGGTGACATCTGATCAGGATTTATCATTAAATTTGATTTGAAGTGTACTCCATTGATTTAAGCCAGAAGGGAGGTGACATTAAACTGCTGCAGCCTACAAGGCCACCCAGGACTAACTAAAGGCTGCTCAAGTGTTACAAGTACATGAATGTGTTAACTCAAAACTGAAACAAGGTTCTGATGGATTCTGTGTCTCTATCAGTGGTGGCATCAAGTATATCAGAATATCAGGATCTGTCCTAGCCACAAGGTTTCCTATCTCATAGCATGTGAAGGGATGTGAAACTAACTACCATGTCACATGCTAGGTGCAGCTGTTTCTGAACACAGGCAAAGAATAGAATTGCTTTCCCAGGATATGGTGATTTAAGAACAAGAGAATATTCTCTGTTCCCAATCTCTCCACACACTGCCTGAGGTTAAAAATATTTTCTAACCTAGTAATGAGTATGTTGCTCTTGCCAGAGTTATGAGATCCGGGTATATAACCTCACTGTTTCTAAAGTCTTTCCTGACCCAGAAAGATCATGTGTGAAACATTTCAGGAAATCTAGACATATATCCTCCACCTTTGCCAGCATGAGGCACTGTAGATGGACTCTGTGAACAGTGAACTAAATTCAACTGCTCACCATCTTCACAATATTAGACAAGGTCAGTATACACTAGAGGATCCCAGTGGCTTGTATAACATTAAGTCTAACGGTGGTAGTCCCACATGGGGCAAGGCTGCAAACCAGGTATAGAAACTAGACTGGACTAGCATTGCTATGAGGGGCAGAGAGCCAGACCATTCCCAAAAATGCTCTGGGCAGAGTGGCACATGTTCAAAAAACATCTATGAAGCTACCCTGTAAGTTGAGTTCCATACATCTTCAACTGTGCTCCTCCAGCATGGTTTGTAGGAGACTGATTGCTTTCCCACATCACTTAACTTCATAGACATCTAATTAAGGAGCTCTTTCATGTATTCAATGGGACACCTGTAGACCTTTCCATAGTCCTCATATTCAAGTTTTCCCTGCAATGTAGCTTTTTATGTTTTTGAAATACACTAGAATAACACTTTGTCATGCTTATTATGTACATAAATCCTCAATTTATTGTGCTTAGTGTTTAGGTGTTTAGTCGTGACCATGACTGGTTTTCCTCACATTCCTTACAATTCAAATGGTTACTCTCTAGTATCAATTTTTACATGTTGAGTTTGGCTTGATTAGATAGTGAAGGCTTTCCCCCAGTGTTTACATTCATAGGCTTTATCTCCAGTGTGACTTCAAATGTGGAAATACTGAAGGTTTTCCCACATTCTGTACACAGGGTTTCTCTTTACTTTGAATTTGTATGTTTTTGAAGGTTGGAAAACCAAGTGAAGCCTTTCTCACATTCCTTACATTAATATGGTTTCTCTCCAGTATAAATTCTTAGATGTCGCATCAGGATGAGAGCACTAGTGAAAGCTTTGTCACAGTACTTACTTTCAGGGTTACTCTCTAGAGTGATTTCTCAAATGGCTATTAAAATATAAGAAAGTCCTAAAGGCCTCCCCACATTCACCACATCGAAAGGGTTTCTCTGCAGTATGGGGTCTCAGATGTTCATTAAGATATGAGGAATTACTGAAGGTTTTCTCACAGTCACCACATTCATAGGGCTTCTCTCCACTGTGTGTTCGGAGATGTTTTTTAAGGACTGAGGGCCAAACAAAAGCTTTGCCACATTCTTTACATTGATAGGGTTTCTCTCCTGTGTGAATTCTCAAATGTACACTAAGTCGTGAAGAATTAGTGAAGGCTTTCCCACACTCCTTACATTTATAGGGCTTCTCTCCAGTGTGAATTCTTAAGTGTTCATTAAGAATTGAGGAACTACTGAGGGCTTTCCCACATTCCTGACATTTATAGGGCTTCTCACCACTGTGAGTTTGAACATGTTTACGGAGGACTGACAGCCAAGCGAAGTGTTTCCCACACTCCTTACATTTATAGGGCTTCTCTCCAGTATGAATTCTCAAATGTTCATTAAGAACTGAGGAACGACTGACGGCTTTCCCACATTCCTGACATTTATAGGGCTTCTCGCCACTGTGAATTCGAACATGTTTACGAAGCAGTGAGGGCCACTGGAAGTGTTTCCCACATTCTTTACATCGATAGGGTTTCTCTCCAGTGTGAATTCTCAAATGCACATAAAGGCGTGAGGATGTAATGAAGGCTTTCCCACATTCACTACATTCAAAAGGTTTTCTTCCAGCGTGAAGTCGAATGATATGATTATTGAGGCACTTGGAATCTGCATAAGACTTCCCACATTGTTTACATTCATGGAGTTCTTGAGCAGTATGTGTCTGCACATGCTCAGTACGGCCTGCAGGGAAAACTGAAGCTTTTAGAAACTGCCTCCATTCATTGAAGTCTCTTCCATTGTGAGTTCTCACATGTGCCTGAAAGCGTGAATGACTAATGAACGTTTTCCTACAGTCACTGCATTCAAAAGTCTTCTTTGCCATACTAGTTCTCTCATACGCTGTATGTGGAGTCAGGCCGAAAACTTTATCACACTGATTAAACTCAGAAGGCTTCTCTCTAGTAGAGTTTTTCTTTTGTAGGTTAAGTAAGCCATTGCGGTACTGATTATGCTCAAAAGTGTTCCCTCTATTTTGAGTTCTCACATGTGTCTTAAGGTTTAAATGTTTACTCAAGACTTTTCTACCTTGTTCACAGTCAGAGAGTTCTGCTCCACGGTGGGTCTTATCCTGTTAATAAAAGGATGAAAGTTGAGGATTTTCAGACTGATTATAAAATTCAACCTTATAATGCAAGAAATAGGATGATGATGACTCTTACCAGTTTTACTACATAAATACAGTTCCTGTTGATTTCTTTCAAATTGAATCAGGGAACTCTTCTGCTAAAAACTGATGCCATCTATGCTACTCTTATGATCATTCCATTGAAATTTCATGATAATGTTTAAAGACTCAATAATGGGGATCCCTGGGTGGCGCAGTGGTTTGGCGCCTGCCTTTGGCCCAGGGCGCGATCCTGGAGACCCGGGATCGAATCCCACGTCGGGCTCCCGGTGCATGGAGCCTGCTTCTCCCTCTGTCTGTGTCTCTGCCTCTCTCTCTCTCTCACTGTGTGCTTATCATAAATAAATAAAAATAAAATAAAATAAAAAATTTAAAGACTCAATAATGAGTTATATATCTGGGAATATATACTTGTAGTATCTAGGAAGCAACAATTTTCACGATAGATTTGGATTATAAATCCCAAATCATCATATGCAGAGTATCTCTGAATTACTTTGTCTATGGTGAATGCCACTTGTCTCAAATGTCTCACACTTGCACTGAATTTTATAACAGGACCACCAATCTTTATTGAATGTGGAATATAAAAAATATCACTAATCAATCTTACTTTTTGTATTTCAATGGCTGTTTTTCCTCCAAAAAAATCCTGGCGAGATGCTGATTCTTTAGTTTGAGGTCGCATTTCCCATTCTGAAATAAAACAAAAACACAAATTCAACATCTGCAGAAAGAAATCACAGGCTTAATTTTAAACCAAGACTTAGCTTTCTTTTATTTTCACATTGAAAAATGGTGAAATGGCGGGATCCCTGGGTGGCGCAGTGGTTTGGCGCCTGCCTTTGGCCCAGGGCTCGATCCTGGAGACCTGGGATCGAATCCCACGTCGGGCTTCTGGTGCATGGAGCCTGCTTCTCCCTCTGCCTGTGTCTCTGCCTCTCTCTCTCTCTCTCTCTCTCTCTCTCTCTCTCTGTGACTATCATAAATAAATAAAAAAAATAAAATTTATAAAAAAAGAAAAATGGTGAAATGGCAATAAAGAAAAAAGATTTCATCAGTTTGTTTATGGGAAAAATATGACAATAAATGTGTAGGGACAGATTTCCATGGCTTACTAAAAAATAATTTTCGAAAAATCAAATATGTCAAACGATAAAATATTATCAAGATAACATTATCAAGTAGACATGTGAAAAATATGTGGACAAGATACACCAAAATGATGAACTTAAGAACTAGAAGAGATCATTTGTGAGATCACAGAAATTTTAAGTAAAAGAGTAAAGGAAAGTGAAGATATCCAAAAACATCAGAGATAAATGGCTTCAGCCCTCTGAGACAAAAGGTATCTTAAAAATTGTACACATTACAGTTGCAAAGATGCCATACTTCAGACCAACCAGTGAAGTTTGTAACAATACTCACCTTGGAAAACTCCTGTTTCCACTGTCCTCAGCTCCTGTTGTTCCAACCAAGCAACCAGCTTAGGTTTTGACAGTTGATATTCTACCAGAGGAAAATGTACATTTTTTTTAAAAAAAAAGATGTTATTTATTTGAGAGACAGACACAGAGATAGCAACAGAGAACATAAGTGGAGAGGAGAGGGAGAAGCAGGCTCCCCACTGAGCAGGGAGCCCGACGCAGGGCTCAATCCTAAAACCCCAGGATCATGACCTTCGCTAAAGCCAAATGCTCAACTGACTGAGCCACCCAGGGGCCCCCCAAAGGTACATTAGAAGAAGCTCATATAAAGAGATGACAAAGCTTCCAATGAATCCAAAACTGTATTTCTAATGAAAGCAATGAAATTAGACCAAAAGGACCAAAAGAGGCACATATTTATCTCTTGTGACAAAAGATTAGTTAACTCTAATCCCTAAAAGCCAAATTTGAATGTACATATATATTTACAGAACATAAACATATTTATTCAAATAGGAAATAAAGGGGATGAAGAAAGAAGATCTTTCTTCTGATGGGGAAACCACTAGAGCAATGGTCCTCAAACACTGGAGTGCATCACCATCATCAGGATGGCTCACTGAAACACAGAAGATGGGGCAACAACCCCAGATTTATAATTCAGAAGGTCAAAAGTGGAGTCTAATAAGAATGTAAATTCCAAACAGAGTGATGGTGTTGCTGTTGGCCCTAGGACCACATTTACAGAACACCCATTGCAGATTATTACACATTAATGTTATGTCCAGAGGGCATCACCAAAGCTGGAAACACATTAAGTATATGATATATATCTGAAATGTTGGCAGCCTTACCTACTGAGACCAGGTTCTGGTAGTTCTCCAGCATCACACTTCTGTATAGGTTTCTCTGATTAAGGTCCAGTAATATCCACTCCTCCTGGGTGAAGTCCACTGCCACATCCTCAAAGGTCACTGCAATCTAAACCATCACACCTGGGTTGGCTTAAGACAAGAAACATCTCCACAATATTCATGGGGGAATGAGGGAAGACTCAAGGTTCTATGGTCCTAGGTACTCTTCTCTCCATCTAGACTCACTCACTGCTCATCTCCGCTCATATGGCTTTAATGGCACCTTTTCAGTTTTTGAGTTTATCTGAGCAAAACCAGGGTAGGCGCTCTTCCCTCTATTGCAGTAGATGACTGAATTCTTTGAGAAAAGGACACTTACACCTTCCTTACCAAGTCACAGCACACGGCAAGATGGAAACTTGCACCTGGTATCCATGAGGTTCAATTGATTAGCAAAATACTGAAACTATTTTCAGGGTAATCCCTCTTCAGTATGAGAGTTTCCACTTCCAGGAAAAATTCAACTGAGGATTCAGTCCTTGAATGGGGTTTATTTGTTTTAGGAAGCTCAGGATACAGATGTGCCTAGAAGGAATGTATCCAACTGGTGGATATAAGTATGGCATTCATTCTGTTGACTGATATGCTTCTTTAAAATTACCTGATGATAATTTTTCAGCCAGACAGCTACCATCTTTTCTGTCTCTGTGTTTACCTCAGGAAGAAAAAAAGGATCTCTAGAAAGATCTTGGAAGGAAAAAAAAAAATCACTTAGAATACAGCAGGACTGTATTTGTCAGAATCACCCACCGGAAAGTCATTCCATCCTAGTTTGAGATTCCCATATACTGCCGCACACTCAAGAAATTTTACATAAATACACACTACTGCCATAAAATACCAGAGTAGCCCTTGCCTTACTTGGAGCCATAAAAGGGACATGCAAGACATACCGCCCACAAGGAAAGGGTTCACAGTCTTATTTTACAGGTATGGAAACCTAATCCCTGGGAAATCTGATTCTTTATTTGCCCAAGATAATAAAACTCATCAATGGGATTATGCAGCACCAAGTCCCAAAGTACATACACTAGGAAGCTAACTTAGATAACAGCATTCTCTGGCATAATTCAGCTCTTTCTAAGTGAACCAGCAGCCTGACTACTTAGGCCCAGATACCTGGGGCCTATATTCTGTAAGGTGACCTTTAAGAATCCTCTGAAAACGAGAATCAAGGATGACTTACCATGAGTCAAATCAATGGCTGCCATCCTGGGAGAGCGATGTCTGATGCGAAATTTAATGCCACGGTCACTTCAGTGCAATTTAAGAATCTAAGTAAACATGGCAGTCTTCGTTACTCTTGACACAGTGTTAACCTGAAATACTTTTCATATCAATCATTAATCAGCACAAGCATTACTAATCCATCACCAAATAGAAAACATTAATGCATGTTCTCTGCAGATGACATATGGGAAATTCACTAAAAGTGTTATAACCGAAGATGGTGGAAGAGTAGGGTCCCCAAATCACCTGTCCCCAACAAATTACCTAGATAACCTTCAAATCATCCTGAAAATCTACGAATTCAGCCTGAGATTTAAAGAGAGAACAGCTGGAATGCTACAGTGAGAAGAGTTCGCGCTTCTATCAAGGTAGGAAGACGGGGAAAAAGAAAGAAACAAAAGGCCTCCAAGGGGGAGGGGCCCCGCGAGGAGCCGGGCTAAGGCCTGGGCGAGTGTTCCCAGGACAGGAGAGCCCCATCCTGGAGAAGCAGGAGCTGCACCAACCTTCCCCGGCGGAAAGGAGCTCGCAGGGAGTTGGAACAGGACCCAGGAGGGCGAGGATGCCCTCGGGCTCCCGGGGACACTAACAGACACCTGCGCGCACAGGAGAGTGCGCCGAGCTCCCTAAGGGCTGCAGCGCGCACGGTGGGGCCAGAGCAGCTCGGAGGGACTCGGGAGCGGCTCCACGGAGGGAGCTGCGGGGCGGGAGCGCGAATCCAACAGCGCAGGCCCCGGAGCACAGGGCGCCGGGACACAGCCCAGGATCCGGCCTCCCCCGGGACAGGCAGAGGCCGGAAGGGCCCAGGACAGCCAGGACACTCCTACCCCGAGCTGAGCAGATCAGCGGCCCCCGCCCCGGAGCCTCCAGGCCCTGCAGACGGAGAGCCCCGTAGTTCCTGCGGAGGCTGAATCCAGGCTTCCAGAGTTGCCATAGCAACTGCAGCTGTTCCTCCTGGGGCCTCACGGGGTAAACAACCCCCGCTGAGCCCTGCAGCAGGCAGGGGCAGAGCAGCTCCCCCAAGTGCTAACACCTGAAAATCAGGACAGCAGGCCCCTCCCCCAGAAGACCAGCTAGACGGACCAGTTCCAAGGAAAGTCAAGGGACTTAAAGTCTACAGAATCAGAAGATACTCCCCTGTGTTGTTTTTTTTCTTTTTTCTTTTCTTTTTGATTTCTGATTGCTGCCCCCACCCCACCCCTTTTTTTCACCTTTCTTTCTTTTTCTTTCTCTTTTTTTCCTTTTTTTTTCTTTTTCTTTTTTCTCTTTCTCTTTTCTTTCCTTCTCTCTCTTTCTTTCCTTTTCCCAATACAACTTGTTTTTGGCCACTCTGCACTGAGCAAAATGACTAGAAGGAAAACCTCACCTCAAAAGAAAGAATCAGAAACAGCCCTCTCTCCCACAGAGTTACAAAATCTGGATTACAATTCAATGTCAGAAAACCAATTCAGAAGCACTATTATACAGCTACTGGTGGCTCTAGAAAAAAGCATTAAGGACTCACGAGACTTCATGACTGCAGAATTTAGATCCAATCAGGCAGAAATTAAAAATCAATTGAATGAGATGCAATCCAAACTAGAAGTCCTAACGACGAGGGTTAACGAGGTGGAAGAACGAGTGAGTGACACAGAAGACAAGTTAATGGCAAAGAGGGAAACTGAGGAAAAAAGAGACAGACAATTAAAAGACCATGAAGACAGATTAAGGGAAATAAATGACAGCCTAAGGAAGAAAAACCTACGTTTAAATGGGGTTCCCGAGGGCGCCGAAAGGGCCAGAGGGCCAGAATATGTATTTGAACAAATCCTGGCTGAAAACTTTCCCAATCTGGGAAGGGAAACAGGCATTCAGATCCAGGAAATAGAGAGATTCCCCCCCCCCCCCAAAATCAATAAAAACCGTTCAACACCTCGACATCTAATAGTGAAGCTTGCAAATTCCAAAGATAAAGAGAAGATCCTTAAAGCAGCAAGAGACAAGAAGTCCCTGACTTTCATGGGGAGGAATATTAGGATAACAAAAGACCTCTCCACAGAGACCTGGCAGGCCAGAAAGGGCTGGCAGGATATATTCAGGGTCCTAAATGAGAAGAACATGCAACCAAGAATACTTTATCCAGCAAGGCTCTCATTCAAAATGGAAGGAGAGATAAAGAGCTTCCAAGACAGGTAGGAACTGAAAGAATATGTGACCTCCAAACCAGCTCTGCAAGAAATTTTAAGGGGGACTCTTAAAATTCCCCTTTAAGAAGAAGTTCAGTGGAACAATCCACAAAAACAAGGACTAGATAGATATCATGATGACACTAAACTCATATCTGTCAATAGTAACTCTGAACGTGAACGGGCTTAATGACCCCATCAAAAGGCGCAGGGTTTCAGACTGGATAAAAAAGCAGGACCCATCTATTTGCTGTCTACAAGAGACTCATTTTAGACAGAAGGACACCTACAACCTGAAAATAAAAGGTTGGAGAACCATTTACCATTCAAATGGTTCTCAAAAGAAAGCAGGGGTAGCCATCCTTATATCAGATAAACTAAAATTTACCCTGAAGACAGTAGTGAGAGACGAAGAGGGACACTATATCATACTTAAAGAATCTATCCAGCAAGAGGACTTAACAATCCTCAATATATATGCCCCGAATGTGGGAGCTGCCAAATACTTAAATGAATTATTAACCAAAGTGAAGAAATACTTAGATAATAATACACTTATACTTGGTGACTTCAATCTAGCTCTTTCTACCCTCGATAGGTCTTCTAAGCACAACATCTCCAAAGAAACGAGAGCTTTATATGATACACTGGACCAGATAGATTTCACAGATATCTACAGAACTTTACATCCAAACTCAACTGAATACACATTCTTCTCAAGTGCACATGGAACTTTCTCCAGAATAGACCACATACTGGGTCACAAATCGGGTCTGAACCGATACCAAAAGATTGGGATCGTCCCCTGCATATTCTCAGACCATAACGCCTTGAAATTAGAACTCAATCACAAGAAGAAGTTTGGAAGGACCTCAAACACGTGGAGCTTAAGGACCATCCTGCTAAAAGATAAAAGGGTCAACCAGGAAATTAAGGAAGAATTAAAAAGATTCATGGAAACTAATGAGAATGAAGATACAACTGTTCAAAATCTTTGGGATGCAGCAAAAGCAGTCCTGAGGGGGAAATACATCGCAATACAAGCATCCATTCAAAAACTGGAAAGAACTCAAATACAAAAGCTAACCTTACACATAAAGGAGCTAGAGAAGAAGCAGCAAATCGACCCGACGCCCAGCAGAAGAAGAGAGTTAATTAAAATTCGAGCAGAACTCAACGAAATTGAGACCAGAAGAACTGTGGAACAGATCAATAGAACCAGGAGTTGGTTCTTTGAAAGAATTAATAAGATAGATAAACCATTAGCCAACCTTATTAAAAAGAAGAGAGAGAAGACTCAAATTAATAAAATCATGAATGAGAAAGGAGAGATCACTACCAACACCAAGGAAATACAAACGATTTTAAAAACATATTATGAACAGCTCTACGCCAATAAATTAGGCAATCTAGAAGAAATGGACGCATTCCTGGAAAGCCACAAACTACCAAAACTGGAGCAGGAAGAAATAGAAAACCTGAACAGGCCAATAACCAGGGAGGAAATTGAAGCAGTCATCAAAAACCTCCCAAGACACAAGAGTCCAGGGCCAGATGGCTTCCCAGGGGAATTCTATCAAACGTTTAAAGAAGAAATCATACCTATTCTACTAAAGCTGTTTGGAAAGATAGAAAGAGATGGAGTACTTCCAAATTCATTCTATGAGGCCAGCATCACCTTAATTCCAAAACCAGACAAAGACCCCACCAAAAAGGAGAATTACAGACCAATATCCCTGATGAACATGGATGCAAAAATTCTCAACAAGATACTAGCCAATAGGATCCAACAACACATTAAGAAAATTATTCACCATGTCCAAGTAGGATTTATCCCCGGGACACAAGGCTGGTTCAACACTCATAAAACAATCAATGTGATTCATCATATCAGCAAGAGAAAAACAAGAACCATATGATCCTCTCATTAGATGCAGAGAAAGCATTTGACAAAATACAGCATCCATTCCTGATCAAAACTCTTCAGAGTGTAGGGATAGAGGGAACTTTCCTCGACATCTTAAAAGCCATCTACGAAAAGCCCACAGCAAATATCATTCTCAATGGGGAAGCACTGGGAGCCTTTCCCCTAAGATCAGGAACAAGACAGGGATGTCCACTCTCACCACTGCTATTCAACATAGTATTGGAAGTCCTAGCCTCAGCAATCAGACAACAAAAAGACATTAAAGGCATTCAAATTGGCAAAGAAGTCAAACTCTCCCTCTTCGCCGATGACATGATACTCTACATAGAAAACCCAAAAGCCTCCACCCCAAGATTGCTAGAACTCATACAGCAATTTGGTAGCGTGGCAGGATACAAAATCAATGCCCAGAAATCAATGGCATTCCTATACACTAACAATGAGACTGAAGAAAGAGAAATTAAGGAGTCAATCCCATTTACAATTGCACCCAAAAGCATAAGATACCTAGGAATAAACCTAACCAAAGAGGTAAAGGATCTATACCCTAAAAACTATAGAACACTTCTGAAAGAAATTGAGGAAGACACAAAGAGATGGAAAAATATTCCATGCTCATGGACTGGCAGAATTAATATTGTGAAAATGTCAATGTTACCCAGGGCAATTTACACGTTAAATGCAATCCCTATCAAAATACCATGGACTTTCTTCAGAGACTTAGAACAAATTATTTTAAGATTTGTGTGGAATCAGAAAAGACCCCGAATAGCCAGGGGAATTTTAAAAAAGAAAACCATAGCTGGGGGCATCACAATGCCAGATTTCAGGTTGTACTACAAAGCTGTGTTCATCAAGACAGTGTGGTACTGGCACAAAAACAGACACATAGATCAATGGAACAGAACAGAGAACCCAGAAGTGGACCCTGAACTTTATGGTCAACTAATATTCGATAAAGGAGGAAAGACGATCCACTGGAAGACAGTCTCTTCAATAAATGGTGCTGGGAAAATTGGACATCCACATGCAGAAGAATGAAACTAGACCACTCTCTTGCACCATACACAAAGATAAACTCAAAATGGATGAAAGATCTAAATGTGAGACAAGATTCCATCAAAATCCTAGAGGAGAACACAGGCAACACCCTTTTTGAACTTGGCCACAGCAACTTCTTGCAAGATACATCCATGAAGGAAAGAGAAACAAAAGCAAAAATGAATTATTGGGACTTCATCAAGATAAGAAGCTTTTGCACAGCAAAGGATACAGTCAACAAAACTCAAAGACAACCTACAGAATGGGAGAAGATATTTGCAAATAACATATCAGATAAAGGGCTAGTTTCCAAAATCTATAAAGAACTTATTAAACTCAACAGCAAAGAAACAAACAATCCAATCATGAAATGGGCAAAAGACATGAAGAGAAATCTCACAGAGGAAGACATAGACATGGCCAACATGCACATGAGAAAATGCTCTGCATCACTTGCCATCAGGGAAATACAAATCAAAACCACAATGAGATACCACCTCACACCAGTGAGAATGGGGAAAATTAACAAGGCAGGAAACAACAAATGTTGGAGAGGATGCGGAGAAAAGGGAACCCTCTTACACTGTTGGTGGGAATGTGAACTGGTGCAGCCACTCTGGAAAACTGTGTGGAGGTTCCTCAAAGAATTAAAAATAGACCTGCCCTACGACCCAGCAATTGCACTGCTAGGGATTTACCCCAAAGATTCAGATGCAATGAAACGCCGGGACACCTGCACCCCGATGTTTCTAGCAGCCATGTTCACAATAGCCAAACTGTGGAAGGAGCCTCGGTGCCCATCGAAAGATGAATGGATAAAGAATATGTGGTTTATGTATACAATGGAATATTCCTCAGCCATTAGAAACGACAAATACCCACCATTTGCTTCAACGTGGATGGAACTGGAGGGTATTATGCTGAGTGAAGTAAGTCAATCAGAGAAAGACAGTGTATGTTCTCATTCATTTGGGGAATATGAATAATAGTGAAAGGGAATATAAGGGAAGGGAGAAGAAATGTGTGGGAAATATCAGAAAGGGAGACAGAACATAAAGACTTCTAACTCTGGGAAATGAACTAGGGGTGGTGGAGGGGGAGGAGGGCGGGGGGTGGGGGTGAATGGGTGACGGGCACTGAGGGGGACACTTTACGGGATAAGCATTGGGTGTTATTCTGTATGTTGGTAAATTGAACACCAATAAAAATTATTTTAAAAAAAGTGTTATAACCTATGGCATGAAAATCAATAATATCTATTACCATTTCCTGATGATACATACATGACAGATGTCTCACTAGGAGCTGTACATACATCAGCTCACCTGTTTGTTATAACCTCCCCCTTTAAAATAGGTATCACTGGGACGGCTGGGTGGCTCAGCAGTTGAGCCTCTGCCTTTGACTCAGGGTGTGATCCCAGGGTCCTAGGACTGAGTCCTGCATCCGGCTTCCTGCATGCAGACTGCTTCTCCCTCTGCCTAGGTCTCTGCATCTCTCTCTCTCTGTGTCTCTAATGATTAAATAAAATCTTTAACAAAATAAATAAAATAAAATGGGTTTCATTAGCCCTACTTAATAACTGTAAAGCTAGATTCACAGAACACTAATCATTAGTCTAATGCCATCCAATTAAGAAAAAGATATCCACAACTAAATGCAATTAGACTTCTCTCAAATGGA